TCAGGGTTTAGGGTTTAGGGTTTCGGTTTTCGGGTTCAGGGTTTAGGGTTTAGGGTTTCGGGTTTCGGGTTTCGGGTTTAGGGTTTAGGGTTTAGGGTTTCGAGATGCTTTTGGTTATGATGACAAGGGGTTTTGGGGCCACGATAAGGTGATCTGCTGTAATCTATCTTGTAGGTGCAGCTCTTACACGTGAGGAAACCTCCACAGGACCAGCCCGCACGATACCTTACTTCATTTCGGCGCCGAGCGAAGGTGAAACCCTTTCCAGGGCAAGCAGTTCATCCCGAATTTGGCGCGCTTACTTCATCGCCGAGGACTGGTGAAACCGTATGGAAGGCAAACAAACAGTTCTGATGGACAACCTAACCTCGAGCTCCTCCAGATGTCATCGCTTGCTTCCCTACTGATGACTCGCATTGCGGAGGACCTGGCGAAGGGGTGCAACCGGCGAATCTCAGAGAAGAGAAAGGATCTCGTGGCTGTGCTCCAATACGGGAGTTTCCAAAAACTGCACCCTTATTCGGAGTCCTCATAATGAGGATCCTACTATTTAGGGTCCTATATTGGGGTCCACTATTTTCGGAAACCCCTAAACCCTAAACCCTAAACCCCTAAACCCTAAACCCTAAACCCTAAACCCTAAACCCTAAACCCCTATATGTTCACCTCTGTTGCAAAGGCCAGCTCTTCTGGCCTGCAGTCTTTGTGCTGCATGAAACTCTCAGAGGACTCACCCACGTCCAGCAGCGCGCATGTCGGCGCACATCTTTCGGTGCGGAGCAAAGGTGAAACCCCTAAACCCCAAACCCTCAACCCTAAACCCTAAACCCTAAACCCTCAACCCTAAACCCTAAACCCTAAACCCCAAACCCTCCCTTTCAAAAGGTAAGCAAAGAGTTCTGACGTATCCTGCAGACAGCCGAGCCCGGAGCTCACGCGTGTCGCCTGCTCTCCCATGCTCTCTGAATTGAATCATTTAGGGTTTAGGGTTTAGGGTTTAATTTAAGTTACCTCAATAGGGATCTGTGGGGTTTAGGGTTTAGTGGTTTAGGGTTTAAGTTGTAAATAGTATGGTTTCCTTCTTATGGTAACTCAACGTAAACCCTTTCCCAAGAACCCAGTGAATGCTACATTCGCAGGCAACCTAGGGAGCCTGGGGCAATCCATCTACAGCACAAGACGCAGGAACTCTGGAGGAAATGGGGGAAGGGAGCGCTCCCGGCTAGATGTGGCTACATCTCCCGATCTTCCGCTCACCCACCGAAGAACAATTTCCCGGCAATGGCCGCGAGGGAAGCTGCAAAGTAAGCCAGAATCGACTTCTGGAGGACCGGGTTCAGAGGCATGTAGAGAAGCTTTGTCTGGTAGTCGCCTATGGCTCCACAAAAAAGGGTCGGGGTGGGGGAGGCGCCAGGGCCTTCTTTGGTCGCTTCTATGACGGACCTCCGGACGAGAGCCTCTTCACCATGAGGTCCACAAACTTTCGGAAGTATTCGCCATCCGGGCTCACGCTTTGGATGAAGGAGGTCTGGGCACATGGCACAAGAACATCAAGCTCCCAAGAAGCTGTCACAACACTCCTCATCGGGGCAACGGGCAAAGACATCTCCAACGATTTCTCCATGCACATGCATCAACAAAGTTGTGCTACAGGCGTGGCGAGAAGCTCAGCTTGCAAAGAAAAGGCACGAATCAGCACACTGGCCGCCTATGACTTTGTGAGGCTGTACATCTGCCCGCCTCCTCCTTCATCGCAGATAGCGTCTTGAGGTGTGCCTGCTGGACATGGTGACAGCCAAGCGCAGCATTGATGCAAAGCATCGTGGAAAGGGCAAAGACGAGGACGATGTAGACCGCACCTATGTTCGGAGGTTTGCTCCGCACGACATACTGAACCACTGCATCAGTGATGAACAGCATGCAGACCACCAAGGTGAAGATGACAACGTTCTCAAAGCGATCCAAGATGAGGCGCACGTCGTTGTGAAGGATGGAAGCCCTTGCCATCTTCCAAGCTTGGAGCTGCCAGATTGATATTCTCTGGCTTTGGCACCATCGCAGGAGTATTACTTGCAAGATGTGCATGGGATGCTGGGCCTGCCTCAATCCTTCCACAGTCTTGAACATAGTAATTCCGAAAAGGCCGCCCAAGATGCAGAAAATTACGGCTTTTATGACCAGGCAAACCCACACCAAGCTGGTGCTTGGTACTCCATGGAGCGCCGGGGACAGAGTCATGCGGCTCATCGTTATGACCTGATCGGCCGAGCACCATGGGCTCAAGGCGGTGACAGAGCTCGTCACCTGGCACCGTGTCTCCCACATGTCCGTCTTGCTTACCCAGAAGTAAGCAAAGGTAAAGGAATCACCCTGCGGCACCATGAAGCTGAGCAGAAGAAAGCCTGTGAGACCAAACATTGCCCCAAGGACCATGTGCGCACGAACCCATCCGCAACAACCTCCCTCCTTGGTATCGCTCCTTCCGGGAGCCCGGCCCTTAAAGGACTGAACGACCGGACAGAACCAGTACAAGCGGAAGATGTTGACTTCTGAGGTTTCGTGACCAAGGAGTCCAAGGCCTTCTGGGGACAGCGCTTCTGTAGTCTTGACTTGCTCAAGAGCATGCTTGTCAAAGAATTCTGGACTGCACGGGCCCTCTGATTCAATCTCCTGCAACTTCTGGTCAAAGTTGTCAATCAGATTCAAAGCCACCACCTCCTCCGTCTCCGCATCATCGTAGCCCATGAGGAAGCGGAAAGCATAGCAAGCGAACAGCATGACGTTGGCAAGCCCGGAATTGCTGCGTTTCGTGTTCTCCCGTGTTACATGCATCTGGTGTCGCACCAGGGCCTTCAACTTGACTGCAGCAGCTGTCAGTTGGTCCATCTCGATTTTGTCACAGTCGATCCATTTGTCGAGGATATCTTGTTCTGAACGCATGAAAGCACTCCTTGGGCAAGCAGCTGCAAGCACCGCACCCCGATCAAACCGTATGTATCATCACACACTGAAAGTCTGTGAAGACTTTGCTTGGGGCCTGACTGGGCCTCTGGCGAGGGTTAGGGCGGCTGGGGTGCGGGACCATCTGCACTACCAGGACATCTAATGGCAATCGTTCCACACAGACAGGGGGCAGTCGCACGAAGCCCCCAAGCTCTGAGAAGCGGTACCGGTTCCCCTCGCCATCCTTCACGAGCTTGCCATCCAGCACGAGAGCCGCGGAAGACCGTGGCATGACAAAATGTGCAAACTGGGAGAAAGCCTCCCGCACCTGGGTACTTCTCTAAATTAGGGTCCCTTGAGTTGGTGCCCCAAGAAAAATACGGCACCGTTATAATTAGGGACCCTATTTAAAGGGACCCTAATTTGGAAAGCCTCCCCCACCTGCTCACGTGAAGAAGCTTCGGAAACCTCCACCAGTTCCAGCTGCTTGGAAAACTCCTCCCAAAGTCGCTGCTCCGACGGCTTAAGCTCCTCGCCCCAGCACTGCCCGCATCTCTCGCAGAAATGCTGAATTGTGGGTTGAAATGCGTTGAAGGTGACTTGGATTCGGGGCGGCTTGGTGGCCTTACATTTTGGCTGTGGGCTGCTGGGTGTCTCGGATCGGTTCATGTCTGCATGCACCAGACCCTGAAATCCTAAACCCTTTTTGAGCCCAGACTCTGCCAATCAGCTGGGAAGCAGACTAGTCTGGAGCATCCTAAACCCTAAAGCCTATACCCTAAACCCTAAAGCCTAAACCCTATACCCTAAGCCCTAAACAGTAAACCCAAACGAACAGGTCCTCGGGCTCCCCGAGCTCCATTTCCGACGGCAGCACTCTTGGCAGCGACACGAAGCCAATCGACTGGGTGGGTATCCCGGTTACAATGGTACTCATATGGTTCAGGAGGCAGGCATGAGGGTTTAGGGTTTAGGGTTAAGGTCAATTCAAGGCATGTCTTTATGCTTCCTTCTCATCTGGTGCTGTTTCGGGGGGTGGCAGAGAACTTCGGGGACTTTCCAAGCCATGTACATCACAGAAAGGGACTGGGACTTTCATGCCTCCCGAGGACGCTCTGGGGCCAAACGTAGACTTCATCCTCCAAGCTCAGTTCGCTATCGATGAGCTCACAAGTGGAAAGGAAAGGCATGGGCACGTTCTGCTGCGCGAAGCGGTACAGGGCACGCTGGACTTCTTTAGCGGGCGACGCCTTCTGGATGGAGTCAACAGTGAAAAGCTGGCGAGAAAACCTCTCCCAGACTGCTTGACGCTTCCGGGCTGCAAGCTTCCGCCCCCGTACCTTCCGCAGCCTGAGGAGTTATCTGAAACAAACGGGGCGAGGCCAAGTTCATGAAGGAGCAGACTAAAACTTCGGTTTTTGGGTTTCGCCCCAGTCCTTGCAGCCAAGAGGCTCTTCGGCACCAATGATTCCTTGATCCATAAGGGCCCCGAAGAAGACCATGAAGTAAATCACGAGGAAAACCGGCCAACCTTGCTCCAAAAACGGCCCCTGGTGGCAGACCTCATCCAAGTTGGACCAATCTCCATAGCCGATGCATCCGTTGTTGATTCCGCCCTCTTCAAGAAGTGATGCCCAGCGCACCAGCAGCGAGTGGACAGCACACAAAGTGAAAACAACGAAAAGCACGATCAGATGTCGATCTGAGTAGCCGGCTCGAGAGCAATCCAGAAACAGAGCCACTGGTGAGGCTGGGCGGCCTTTTACCCCACCTCTCTTTGCAAAGTAGCTGTCGTGATCAACCCTCCTACCTCGCCACCAGCAGAAGATGATCGTCAAACAAAATGTCCCATACCAAAGTGGCACGTAGTGTACCGGACTGAATCCGCAGACAACGGGGCACACTGTGTCCTGTGTGAGTACGTCTTGTGCTGGATCCCCGAACGCACAGCTCACCCGCGTCCCATTGGCATCCAAGATGTCAGGTGTTGTCTCGCTGCAGAGGCTGCGGAGGAGTCTGTGGCAAAGGACATCAAGGATGCAAGGCAGAAACAAGAAAGGCTTCCAATTGCGTTTAGACCTGAACCTCAGGGAAACCGGCTCATCTCCAGGCTCATGGTTCTCGAACCGAGCCCATCCCTTGCCAGTGGCGGTGGCCAAGTCCAGGTCCTTTTCTTCCCTGCAAGCGCGTCAGGCCTTGTATGTGGTGTTGAGACTTTTGGTGGGCGCGTGGGCACTTCCTCTCCAACCTCCACCACCTGCCTGACTGTCTCTCTCGCAGGAATTGCGACACTGCCTGGGCAAGGCAAGTCTAAGAACTTGCAGGCAAGCAAAATGTGGGCTTCAACAGCAATTAGAGTTAGGAAAGTTGGGGGAAGGATTTGGCAACAAAGCCTGCCGGCAAGGGGAACCAAACACGACACTAGCTTCTGGAGTCATGTTGTCAGATAAAAATATCAAACATCGACTTAGATATAGCTGCATCTCGTCTTGCAGGGTTCTGCTACGCTCTGTTGTCAAGGGCATGTGGGCAAATTGCAACCCTTGATCCTAAGCCTGACCCCGAACACACCGGAATTTCCCCCAGAAACCCAGATCCATAGGCCGGGTACCGAAACGCTCGTCGAGTCGGTGAAGTATGTGGGCGACCCATTGAGAGCGAGGTAGGTCGCCTGGTTTAAGGTTCAGGTTTAGGGTTTTCAAGATTTGATCACATTGAGTCTTAGCTTGAATTCGTCACTGAAGCCAACACTACTCCTGGCTAGTGCCAAGTCACTGACAGCATCTGCAGCGGCATCTGAATCTGGGCCGGCACGCGGGTGCGATGCTTTTGGCGTGGCCATGGTCACAGACGAAAACCCACAGTCCCAACTGTGTGACTTACAGCTGACAGCCTCAAAGAATGCGTCATGCAGTGCTAGCTCAGATACAGGCGCTCAATTGTGACACAGCTACCGTAGCACAGGGCAACTTGTTCATATAACACAACCTAAAATTTGGAGGGGCGCTCTCATGCCACGTCCCGCGCACACCCCCAAACACACAAGTGAGGTGGACGCGCAAGTAGGCACCTTTGCGGCTAGAACTTCCAAAGCTGGACGTCAACAACTTACTGTGAGGTGCACTGGTGGATTTGCAGGTCACTTGCAGACATCCCAAAGCCAAGCTGCAGAAAAGCATTTTCGCCAAACCGCCTACTTCTTACGAGCAGAAAAACCGCCCCGTAAACAATAAAGACAGGACTGGAGACCACCAGAATTACTCGAAACCCAATCCATGGGACCAATGCAGTTGTTTGACTTTCTGTGCGGCCCAGCCAGCAATCTCTCACTTCCACAGCGCTTTTGCAGAACCGCTCTCTTACCTTGCAGCTTTGCATCAAGTTTGTCAAGTAAGCTTCTGCGTGGACTTCAAGGGAGCTTGAAGGGGCTTGAAGGGGGGGGCGTGAAGAAAGGAAGCTTCAGGGAGGCTTTAAGGGGGACTTGAAGGGCTTAAAAGAGGCTTGAAGAAGGGACCTTTGAAGAAGAGGGGGGCTTTAAGGGGGCCTTAAGAGAGATTTGAAGGGGGGTTTGCCTCAAAGGGGCTAACTTAAACAAGACGCAATCACC